AAATAGAAGTCTTATATGAATTAAATTTAACCCTAAAAGGATTTTGAAAAATTTTCAAAATGGCGGCCGCTACGCCATATTGAAAATGAATGTTGCGTTTTTTTCAAAAATTAATAAAATCGATTTTAATAAAATTTACAGGCGATATAGTTAAAAATACGTAGTTTAATTTGATATTATGAACAAAAAATAATTTCCAAAATTTGTCAAAAAAAAGTCAAAAAAATTTTTTGAATTAATTTTTAGTTCAGTTGGCCTAATTTTTGAATTTTCTAATAAGTAAATATCGATTCCTTGTAATTTCACCTTTCATTTCATAAAAAAAAATTTATGGAGACTCTAATAGTTATATATATTATATACATATAATATATATAATATATATATATAATATATAATATATATTATTATATATATATTATATATATTATATTAATATAGTTATATTATATTATATTATATTATATTGCGACTTTAGTGGGAGCGCGTACCGCGGAATTAAACTCCGTAGCGAGGCGGAATATGAAGCGAGCGTACAAACGTGCACAATAGGGTGTCCGTAACAATTAATTTTCAAAATTTTGGATCCAATATGGCAGGTTCAAAATTTTAATTTTCTACATTTTCGAAGTAAATATTCTAAAACAACGTCAAGGGCGATATTTGGAAGCGCTATTTACGAATCTAATGTTAAAAATTTATTTTTTAAATTACCGAATCTAATATGGCATGGCGGATTCAAATTTTTTTTTTTAAATATTCCTTTAATAATCGATTTTTAAGAGCAGAGGTATAAAAAGTTAAATTTCTATAAAAGAGTTTCTAAAACATCCCAATAATTATTTTTTGTAAATATTAATCTATAAATTAATATTTAGACTATTTACTTAAAAATGTAGAAAACCATAATTTTGAATCCGTCATAGTGGATCGAATAATTTGAAAAATAAAATTTTAACCTTAGATTCGTACACTCAGAAAAAAATTTGTTCGAATCAACCAAATTTTGGTTGAATCAACCAAATAAATGCATTGCTATACAGTCAACCAAACGTTTGTTTGATTCAACCAAAAAATTTCTTCCAATACGTTTATTTGTATTAACCAAATGCTTATTACACTTAACCAAAAAATTTTATTTAATATAACTAAAAAATTTGTTTATTTCAAGAGAAAAGATTTGTTTGATTCAAATAAATAGTTTTAGTAAACGTATTTGGTTCATTTAAATAAATATTTTTGTTTACTTAATTTTGTTATTTATTTTCCTCTAATAATATTTGAATTTCCTAATTTAATATTTTCTAGTACGAATTATTGGTTAATTTATAATTTATTATATAATTATTGATATTTTAAAATTAAACATATAATAAATTATAAATTAACCAATAATATGTATACTAGAAAATATTAAATTAGGAAACTCAAACATTATTAGAGGAAAATAAGTAACAATTACATAAGTAAAATATTATATATGTATTTCTTCATATAAACAAAATTACTTAATTATAAAAAAACATTTGAAATATTACATTAAACATATTATAATTATGATTTTTATACGTGCACTCAGAAAAAAGTTTATTCGAAACAACAAACTGAAAACTTCACAAAACCTTTTTGTAAATATTCTTCTCACTGGTACAAATTAAATATGCAGTAAGTCAATGAACACAATGTATTTAATATTTATTTAACCGACACTTATAATTTTTTTTCTTCGATTTACCGATTTAACAAATAAATTTGACGCGAACGCGGACTGTAGACAAGTGAGATCGCCATTTTTAAATTCACACATGTACTTTTTGACAAAAGCAAATATGTTTGTTTGACTCAAATAAAATGATTTGGTTGAATCAAACAAATTTGTGTGTTGTGTCGAACAAACTGTATTTAACTAAACAATAATCTCTATTCAAAACACAAATTTGGTTAAATGAAACAAACAACTTCAAATAAAAAATTTCTTTCCAATAACCAAACAAATTTTACGTATTTATTAAAATAAACCAAATTTTTATTTAAATCAACAAAATTGTTTTATCGTGACAAATAAAATAGGTTAATTAAACAGTTTGGTTAAGTGAAATAAACTTTTTCTCTGAGTGTAAATAGCGCTTCCAAAAATCGCCCTTGACGTTGTTTTAGAATTTTTACTTTAAAAATGTAGAAAATCAAAATTTTGAACCCGCCATATTGGATCGAAAATTTGGAAAAATTAATTTCTGATATCAGATTCATGATGAACGATCGAAAATAGCCCCGAGTAAGTAATTTTTTTGAATTTTTGACAACACTTATGTGTTAAAACCTTGGATATATTGTGGTGCATTTTTATGACCCACTTTAATCATCCGCCATTTTAAAAATTTTTAAAAATTAAATTTTTGGCAAAGTGCTATCTTATAGTGCAGCTAAAAATGAAGGCAAATGTGACCTGGAGAATTTTTTGCATGAAAATTAAAAAAGTTATGAATTATTTTTAAAAAGTGCATTTTTCCTATGTATTTTTAATAGGAAATTTCGATGGATCTCTGGCACGTGTTAATATTAATCAATCGGCTTCAAATTTTAGGAAATTGTTTTTATTTTATTGGAACTAAACTGGGGGGTGGCGTAAACAAAATTCGAAAGTCGCATTGTTACGGACACCCTATTGTGCACGTTTGTACGCTCGCTTCATATTCCGCCTCGCTACAGAGTTTAATTCCGCGGTACGCGCTCCCACTAAAGTCGCAATATCTCGAGAACTATTAGAGTCTCCATAAATTTTTTTTTATGAAATGAAAGGTGAAATTACAAGGAATCGATATTTACTTATTAGAAAATTCAAAAATTAGGCCAACTGAACTAAAAATTAATTCAAAAAATTTTATTGACTTTTTTTTGACAAATTTTGAAAATTTTTTTTTGTTCATAATATCAAATTAAACTACGTATTTTTAACTATATCACCTGTAAATTTTATTAAAATCGATTAAAAAGTTTCAGAGTTATTAATTTTTGAAAAAAACGCAACACTCATTTTCAGTATGGCGTAGCGGCCGCCATTTTGAAAATTTTTCAAAATCCTGTTAGGGTTAAATTTAATTCATATAAGACTTCTATTTCCCAAGGTTTCGAAGAAATCGGAAGACCACTTGCAAATCGCTTTTTTTCTGACGGAGTCTTACCCTACGATCTCACTGAGTCCCAGCTACCCAGTTACCAGGATGTTCTTTTGTGTTATCAGTTTGAAAGATTTCGTATAGGGCGACTCCGAGGCGACAACTATGAATCTAGGAGTAAAGAGGTTTCAGAATAGTTGCAAAAAAGTTTGAAAATATTTTCAAAAAGTCATCTATTCCGATAGTCTTACACACCAGAGTGTGTTTCAGTGTCAGAAATTTCGTATGATATGTGGTGAGCATTTGTAGAACTCTGGTGTGTGACTTTTTGAAAATATTTTCAACCTTTTTTGCAACTATTTCTGAAACCTCTTTACTCCTAGGTTCATACTCTTTACTCCTTGGAGTCGCCCTATACGAAATCTTTAAAACTGATAACACAAAAAGTCTAGCCTAGTGTCTGGCGGGGAGGGGTGGGGGAAGAGCGAGACGAGACGTGGTGAGCGGCCCAGCCGGTCCGACCCAACGCGTGAAGCACGGAACACATCTCCGCAGCGCCGGCGTCATTTTTGGCGCATTCAGAGAAAAGTGTGGCTACACGGAGAGAAAAATCAAGCGTTTGTAGTATGGAGACTTCCTATGCTAATTTTGTATGAACGTCCTGCTAAAGAGGCATGTTTTTATACCTCAGTTGCATGAAACATATACTAAAAAAGCATGGATCTCTTGCAATCGTAGTATACTGACGTCCCATGCGTTACAGGTAGAAATTTTATGCTGATAACGTAGAAATTTATACAAATACAGCAGAAGTTTTACGCATATTGCGCATGTGCATTCTTTTACGAAATAAGCTTAACTGTCCATACTACAAACGCTTGATTTTTCTCTCCATGTAAAAGCCGAATTTCACCTAGCGCTGCGGCGCGCCGCCTTTCTGCTCGTATCTCCAGAACGGTTCGTTCTACGGCCATGATCATACATACTATTTCGGTAGCTAATGACGCGACAAACAACTTTTGTTTTATACATTTTGCTGAAGATGCAGTCCGGTCTCAAAACGAAAAATATTGCATTGAAATCAGGATGTAATAAGGCAACTTTTCCGGACTATTACACTGAGAAAACTGGATAGTCAAACTTAGAGGGTTAGGTTTTGAGTGTTAAGCCTGATTCTCTGGATAGTTAACTTTTCCCTCCGAGTTAGTCAAATTAATCATCGGAGTGTCTATTTATCCCTCCGAGATAGTTACAAAAAACTTAACCTCAAATATAGTCTGTTTGTCTCTCCAGATAGTTAGTTGAATACTCCAGTTTTCTCCATGTAGAAATCTCGACTCGAAAAAAGTCCGGAATCGACTAACCCTATTCTTCATGGCTTATTTTTTCTGAGCAAAATTTTAATTTGAAAAAGATAATTGCAGTATTCGACTGTGTCGAAGAATCATCATAGAGTTTTAAATTTTGTGTGAAAGTTTATAAGTCATGCACAGAAAATAAAAAGTGTTATTTTAACACCGAATTTGGTGTTAAAATAATAGTCATAGGTGGCGCCACATTCTATGTCGTTTAACATTGGTTAATTTAACACGCAACAAAAATCACACCAACTTTTTCTAGTGTGTCATACATGTCACTTTGATCGGAAAATCGATAATTTCTCTTAACTAATGATTAATTTTCTGCAAACCGATAGCGATCAGACTTTGACTCAAAGTGATTGTTATCTTCATGTTCCATAATAATTAAAGATGTTTAAATGGTAAAAATAGTATTTATATTATCAGATTTTATTTATTTCTTTTTCCATTCATAGTTTTATTTTGAAAAGTTAAGAAATACTCTGATACAGGAATAATGAATGAAGGGCTTATATTATTTTAGTATTGATGCTAGAAAAGGGAACTTGAGAAGTGCTGTCCACTGGGCCGTAAGCAATGATCTTGGAAAGAAAACATACTTTCAAATGACTGATGGTCATCGAGGCAAATTGAAATTGAACAACGTTGAATTCATAGATCAAGGAATATTTAGATGCAGAGTGGATTTCGTTAATTCTCCTACTAGAAACTTTAGAGTGAATCTAACGTTAATTGGTACGTAACTATTGATACTTATTTAACGCCCTGACTGCGGCTACGATTTCAAAGAAGTTAGGAGTAAAATGCGAAAAATAATTTCTTTGGATTTCAATAAAACATTAAACATACAGATTTTAAATAGAAATGTTTTTTAATTTATTTTAATTTTTTATTTGGTCTTTTTTATTGCACATTACATGTTACATAACGTTTCGACTGAATTTTCCAGTCCTCTTCAGATTCTAAAATAATAATAATAAGAACAGTATTACAATTAATATATTTTTGTAGGTTAGGTCAAAAATTGATCAAATTGAACGTTTTTATAATGAAAAGTTTTGTTTTTACGCGTAGTTATTAACAAAATATTTAAAAAAATTTTGTAATAATTTACGATACCATTTTAAAATTTTTTAAATAAAATTTCATGTTTAACAATGTAAGTATCGACCTATTTTTTTCAAAATTTTTTGTAAGAAACTACATAGCTACGGCAGGTCTTAATTAACTTCAACCCAGAAGTTCTTGTCCAGATTGGTTTTTTCTTGCTTTTGTTTTTGGGATGCCACCTGATGATTTTAAACATAAAATGAAAAAAATCGGTTGGGCCGTTTTAAAAAAAACTGATTTCTAACATTTTTTAAAGAGGTTAATCAACATATTTTTCCTAAAATGAGTGCAAATAATCGCCACATATACTAGAGTCATTAAAAATGATATCAGAAAATAGGTGCTAGGTACTTAGTATCTTTAAGTAACTTTATATCACAAAAATTAATTCAAAAGAGTGAAAAACGGGTACAAAATGGAGTTTTTTGAATATTACTCTCTCCCAGTACATATACACTGGAAATGACCTATAGAAGAATTAAAGAGTATAAAATTTTAAAGAAACCAAAAAAATAGAGTGCTTTATCATTAAATCATTTGGATTTATGGCGTTCTAAAGTCAGATTTTAGCAAAAAATATAGTAAAAAAAATTTTATTTTAGTTTTTGAAAAATAAAAAGTGTTTTGTGTATCTAACGCATATATATTACTCAAAATAAATTGAAGTAGACTAAATTCTGAGTAAATCCGTCGTTGAAATATCATTCTATCTCTAATAGGATTGGAGTTACGATTTTTATAAAATGGCCAAGTCAAAGTTCTAAAATGTCCAAGTTGTGAAATGTAAACAAACAAACACTTTTCTTACAAAAATGGAAAATTGGAGTGTTAAAGTTTTCAATGAAATCATTACTAATTAAAATGACCTGTAAAATAGCATTTTTGACGCGTCGCGAAAAATAAGCACTTTGAGTATATCAACCGCACTGACGATGAAGAGGTCCCATGTCAAAGATTCGACCTTCAAAAAATGCTTCACTATTCGGTCTGTAATGAAGCATTTTTTCGCGGTTCCCATTTGCGTAACTAAATATAAATTCACAATTTCTTTATGAAAATGGTGAACTAAAGTATCGAATTTTTTTTTGGTTTTCTTCAAAATTTTATACTCTTTAATTCTTCTATAGGTCATTTTAGGTGTATATGTACTGGGAGAGAGTATTATTCAAAAAACTCCATTTCTTACCCGTCTTTTACTGTTTTGAATAAATTTTTCTGGTATAAAGTTACTTAAAGATACTCAGTACCTAGCACTTATTTTCTGATATCATTTTTAATGACTCAAGTAGATGTGGCGATTATTTTCACTCATTTTAGGAAAAATATGTTGATTAACCTCTTTTAAAAATGTTAAAAATCAATTTTTTTAAAAAACGGCCCAACCGATTTTTTTTATTTTATGTTTAAAATCATCAAAGGGCATCCCAGAAACAAAAGCAAGAAAGAACCGATCTGGGCAAGAACATCTGGGTTGAAGTTAATTAAGATTAGTGCTATAGCACTAAATTAACAATGTTTAAGCCTTGTTTGATCGTGGGCAAACGATGGGATCTATTTATTTTGAAATTTTTAATTTTTATATACACAGTGAAAACGGTAGGCCTAACTTGCCATTTGACCAAATCACAATTTTACACAGAAAGAAGGTTAAGTTTGGAGAGGCTCAGTTTGAAAACACATTTGCTGTGAAAAATTTGTATGATTTTGTCTAATGGCAAGTTAGGCATTTGGCCACCTTCCGGTTTTGACGCCGTTTTAAAAAGTCGTGACATATCTATCAAAATTTAGTTACTTCGTGACGTATGAACGAACTTATACGTCACGATCTAACAACATTTTTATAGACGTGTCACGACTTTTTAAAACGCGGTCAAAACCGGCAGGAAGGCATTAAAGCATCAGGGCGTACAATGGAATAGGGTCTTTAAAGTTTCGGAAGACACACTGTGAAAAGAAAGGTACTAATTTAGTACCAAAATTGGCACTAAATCGTAATTTGGTTCTATTTTAGTACCGAAATCAGCTCTAATTAAGAACCATTTTTATAGGCACCCTAGTTGTTTTTACAAGGTTTAAAAATAACATTAAAATTATATTTCATTAAGATATTTTTTAATTGAATGTGATTTTCATAAATATATGGAATAACACCAATTTATTAGTGTCAAAGGTTTTTTCACTATTGTTTACTCTAGGCGTGGTAATTTTTTTCATTTTTAAATTTATATATTTTTCGAGAAATCTGTATGTGAATTGAAATTTAAATATCTGCCTGACCAAGTTGGTTTCCTGTACCAGTTAGTCAGGAGTATATTATTTTCGTTAATTAATTTTATGTCTAAAAAATGTATTTCATTTTTTCCAATCTCCATGGTAAATTGCAGTGTTGCTTCCTCATTATTGAATTCATAACATACAGTCAATTTTTGTCTATTTATGTCATTTATACAAAAATCGTGGCCTAATTTTAAATTAGCAATACATACAAAAATATAATTTATAATAGCAGAAAAAAATTATAAAAAGACAAATATCACCGGCGTCACCAACTAATGGTTCGATTGTGATTTTTTGACATATTTATAAATTTATTTTTATTATATACCTAATCTTTTAGTACTTTATGTACGAATGGACACTGCCCCACAGTGGAGCCAAATTAAAAAAACCCGGAGATTAGACCAAAATGTGAAAGTTTTGAATGGGGATTTTTAGACTTACAGTTGGTTGCTCTGGGTCGTTGTGAAGCTTTTTTCACTTATAATAGGTCCCCAAATCTATTACAGCAGTGCATATGTCAGTTTAACATAACCCTTCGTGTTAGTGCTTAACATTGACTTTAAAATACAGAAAAATAAAAGTGAGTTTTCATTGCTTGTTATTTTTTATAAAAGCGTAAATTTTATGAAAATAAAATGGAAGACACCCCAGAAAGTAAGTAAAATATTCTTATATTAATTATAACTAGTCATAATATATACGTATATAATTAATAAATGTATTAGAGGCGAGCAGTAAAGGTCATATCATCTTTTAAAATACACTGATATAGGCGCTACTTATTTAGCGCAACGCACAAAAACTCGTAGCGCAAACTTCAAAAATTTTTTTCTTAAAAACATCAAAAAGCACTTCTTTAAAAATTTAACCACTTATTAAGGAAGGTTTAAATTTTGAGAAAATAATTTTTTTAGAAAACTCCATGATGTCCTTAGCATATTTTTTTAACAATAAAAAATTATTGTTTAAACAAATTATTGAAAATTTAATTTTTCTTAACTTTTTTTTTAATATTATAAAAAATTGACATTTATTTATTTATTTTCAGTTTCTGATTTTTTAAATCTAAATATCTTGCAAAAAATTTTTTTTTTGCAAAACTGTTTGGCACAGTTATTTAGTACCCCAAATACTACAAAATTACAAACTTTAAGAAAAATCGGTGATCCACCATTTACTTTTCGTATGAAACTGCCCTTGATATAAAAATTACTTCCTCATAGAGGAAGTATTGTAATACCGAAATTTCTCAAGTTCGATTTTTTGACATATCTTTATGTTATTTGACCTCAGGAGTTTAAAAATGACATTTTTAAAAAATGTCATTCCGTATGTGTGTGTGTGTGTGTGTGTGTGTAAACATCACATTTTCATAAATATCTCGAAATCATAAAGAGCTTTTGGGTTAAATTTTTTTTAAATTGTAGATCTCACCTGCGGACACAACGTTTTTCGTCCATAACTTTAAAAAAATGTTAGGACACCTATAAATGTTTTTCCATAATTTTGTAGAGTTTTTTTAGACGCATCTTTTGAGCCCTAATTAAACATTTTTCGTCCATATTAACCGGAGTTATTAAGCTTTTAAAAATAAAAAATTTTGGAAAAAAGACTTTTTTGAAAATTTTGTTGAAAAACGTGGAAGTAACTTTAAAATTATCGTTATTAACTTGTACAGCATTAACAAACGCTTCGATTGACCTATTTTTGAACATAATTCGATAATAAATTTCGAAATTATTGGTATTTTAAAAACCAAAAATTGTGAAAAATGACATTTTCTCAACATTTTTGTTTGAAAATTTTTGTTTAACTATTAGGGTAATGTCACATTGAGTGGACCGCTACTTTGAGTGGACCACCTGAGTTTTTAAGTTATCTGACAGCGGAAACGTTAAATAAATAAAACGAATAGCACACGGAGAGAAATCTGTTGCTATTATTGCTTGCAGAATCTTTACAAATTTTATTAGTCACTGCTGAATAGAATTTTAGCTTGAGGTTATAATAATTTATATACAAAATCATCTATTTAATGTAATAGAGAGTTCGATGCAATAAAAACAAAAAGCAGCTGCTAATTTTGCACGAAATCTTTATTATAAATATAAAGAGAACGTGCTATAAAAGTATTAGATTCTTCTTATAAGAATCGCTCGAACTCCGACTGATTTTCAGGCGGACTTTATACAACACAATCTTACTTGCGTGTACGCACATATAACTCACACACACATATATTTCTCTGGATGGTTTCGAGGAACGGAACGCGTACAAAGCGGTGACGTTTGCAATAACATAACCTAACAATTTTCACATGTTGCTTATATATTCAAATACGAATA